ATATATATATATATATATACATATATATATATTCACATATATTGATAAAACTCTATAGACCTAAAAATGACAAAAACATAACAAAATTACTAAAACATTAAATAAAATTAAAGTGAAAACAGGAAATGTAATTCAAAATATTAACAATGCAGTTTGGAAAAATACATTTTTGGGCTGTAATTTCAGTCCGCTGAATTATTTTTCTTTGTGAAATTTTTCCAACTATCATGATACTAAAATAACAGTCCCAAGTGCCTCTTGTTCCCTCTCAAAGACCATTGGTGCGATATCAACCAACGTGGCTTTGACATAAAGGAAGTGCAGAGGAAGCAGTAGAGGACGAGTGTATACCTGGAAGCACCGTCAACCAAGCAGTGTGATAGGAGATCCCAATAGAGTTACCCGCCAAGCACGTATACTCGCCCGCATCCTGGAAAGTTACATTAGGCAGGCAGAGCACCTCGATCTCTTTGTCTGTAGTGTTCACACCTGCCGTCTGAGAGAAACAAAGGAGAAGAGGAAGATGGAAGGGAGATACAAGAATGGATAGAAGAAAGAAAAGAAAAGAAACAAATCAGACCCATAATACCCATAAGAGAAAAGGAGATGTTCAATGTTGTATTTCTCATCTACGCATTACAGAGATGGTAGATGTTCCACTTCAGGAGAGAGGATCGTCAAATAGGAAGGGCAGGGAAAAAAATCGCCATAAACGCAGATCTAAATGAAGGCCAAAACCTTTGTACCAACACAGGTGAACCCACCAGATCCTCAAGGGTTCATGCAAACACAAGTGAAGATCATGGAAAACAAGCCGCTGCCTTTTCGCCAAGAAAGAACCGAAGAAAAGTGATAAATGAAAGAGGAAAAAGTAGGAGGGAAACTTGACACAGAACAGAACAGAAAGACAGTGGCAAGGACAGACCAAAGGCTTGTTTCCATGGCTGATTGGGCACCAGGAAAGATCCGCCAAAAAATAAGAAAAACACCAGACCACACCACAACAGCTCAGCGAAAATCCCATGATCACCACGACGACAAAAAAACAACCCAAAACACCAGCAGAGGGGAAGGGGACGCTGAAGGCCTCGATCTTGTTTTTTACCTGGTAGGACAGTGAGCCAACCGGACTGGCTGACCTGACCAATATAATTGGACACTTGGCATGTATATTCACCAGAGTCCTCTTCCGTGACGTTGGTGAGCACGAGCACTTCCACGTCCGAGCTGTTTATGCCCGAGCGCTAGGGGACGCCATAACGAGGGACAAAAACACACATATGGGAGCCTGTTATAATCTCTTACTCTTTAGGAGAGCATAAAAGGGAGCACAACTCGTTACATGGCATTAGAATATCTCCTGCAAGAATAATGTGTTTTTGCATCTTCTCGTTCTTTCTAAAAGAAATCAGCTGCATCGAAACATTCCTGTTCCCCAAAACGAAAGGACAGAATATACGGAAAACGGAAGCCTAAATAGCCTAATACCTTCAACACCTTGACGTAAGGGAGCCCATCAGGACCGTAACGGCTGCCGTTCTTCACAATGTGCTGCAGCCACTGGATGTGAGGTTGAGCATCACTGTAAACTTTACAGACGAACTTAGCGTCCTCTCCGACTTGCACAGTGACGTTGGCCGGCAGGCCTGCCTGAAGAATGGGCCGGTGAGGAGAGCGTTCTGATAGAAAGGAAGAAGAATGAACATTATTATATTAATATTTACCAAGGACACTACCGTTTGGGTCGGTACGTTTTTTAAATGTTTTTTTAATGAAGTTTTATGCTCGCCAAGGCTGCATTTATTTGATTAAAAATACAGAAAAATATTATGAAATATTATTGCAATTTAAAATAACTGTTTTCTATTTTAATATATTTTAAAATGCAATTTATTCCTGTGATGCAAAGTTGAATTTTCAGCATCATTACTCCAGTTTTCAGTGTCACCTGATCCTTCAGAAATCATTCTAATATGTTGATTCGCTGATCATTGCTTATTATTATCAATGTGTTATAATCTCTTACTCTTTAGGAGAGCAGAAAAGGGAGCACAACTCGTTACATGGCATTAGAATATCTCCTGCAAGAATAACGTGTTTTTGCATCTTCTCGTTCTTTCTAAAAGAAATCAGCTGCATCGAAACATTCCTGTTCCCCAAAACGAAAGGACAGAATATACGGAAAACGGAAGCCTAAATAGCCTAATACCTTCAACACCTTGACGTAAGGGAGCCCATCAGGACCGTAACGGCTGCCGTTCTTCACAATGTGCTGCAGCCACTGGATGTGAGGTTGAGCATCACTGTAAACTTTACAGACGAACTTAGCGTCCTCTCCGACTTGCACAGTGACGTTGGCCGGCAGGCCTGCCTGAAGAATGGGCCGGTGAGGAGAGCGTTCTGATAGAAAGGAAGAAGAATGAACATTATTATATTAATATTTACCAAGGACACTACCGTTTGGGTCGGTACGTTTTTTAAATGTTTTTTTAATGAAGTTTTATGCTCGCCAAGGCTGCATTTATTTGATTAAAAATACAGAAAAATATTATGAAATATTATTGCAATTTAAAATAACTGTTTTCTATTTTAATATATTTTAAAATGCAATTTATTCCTGTGATGCAAAGTTGAATTTTCAGCATCATTACTCCAGTTTTCAGTGTCACCTGATCCTTCAGAAATCATTCTAATATGTTGATTCGCTGATCATTGCTTATTATTATCAATGTTGAAAACAGATGGTGCATGGTAAGACCTATAGCTTCAGTCCTGTTAGGCTGCTGTTAAGACTTCACAAAACAAAGACTGTTGCGTTAACTCTGCTGATAAGGACTGAACAAACACAGATGAAGAAAGGCAAAGTGGGGGAAAAAAATAAGACAGATGTACAGTGTCCACCATATATCAGCTGCGGTTCCAGCAGCGTTGGCGTATCAGGAACCTTCTCGTTTCATTTCCTTTTTCCCCTTAAAAATTATCTTACAAAATAAGAATGCTGTGACTTTTGTTTTCCAAAAGCCACAATAATAAGCAAACTCATGTTGAGTAGCTAATACACGTCAACTTTGTGAGTAGTTAAGTTACCTATAATTTAAAAACGTTATTTATAGATGTTATTTTAGAATCATTTTATTTTTTATTAATATTTGGTTTTGTTTTACTTTAATATGTTTTTATTTTAATTTGAGTTAAAGTTTTAGTAATTTGGTTGTGTCCTTGTAAGTTTTATTATTTTTTGTTTTTTAAATATGCCTATATAGTTTTATATTCATTTTTATTACAGTTTAGTTTTAGATATTTTGGTACATCAAGTTACACTAGCTTGGCAAGAAAATAAAAGAAAAGAAAACTTGCATCAAGACTACTGCATCAAGTTTTCCAAAGAAAAAGAAGAAGAAAAATAACGAAACTAAACAGACTAAACCATATTACAAACACACCTCATTGTCTGAACAACACAACATTACTCTCACCCTGTAATTCTGACACATCTCCTGGTTACCTCGACATACACAGACACACGAGCATGATGTCACACAGGAGATGTGGAGAGGTCAACCTTCACAGACAAGCAGCGGAGGTTTGCAGGGGATGTAAGAGGATTTAGGACTTGAGAGGCACAAGAGGGGGCACAAGAAAAGCTCAAAACAATGGTGCAAAGCAGAAAGAGAGAGCAAAAGAAAGAGGGGTTGGGGTCAAGGGATGCAGAGGATAAAGGATGCCCAACAGATGGGCAGTGAAAAGAAAACACAGACAGATGAGAAACAAAAAGGTACAGAGACAAACTTTGCTGACACACAAAGATCTAAACCTTACAAAATCTCCAAGTCAGGCAGAAAGTCTTCCTTTCCTAGCAAGTGTTTCAGATTGATTGTGTTTTAGGGTTGGCTATCGAGAACTGGTTCCAAATTTCCAAGACTGGTGGATTTGATACGACAAGCGATTTTGATTACGCTTATCGATTCATGTGTGTTGGTTTTATTTAGATTTTTAACCATTCAAGCACAAGAAGATACAAAAGGAAAACTCAATTTGGCATTTGCGCACATTTTCTCCAAAGCACACGCACAAAAAGCAGCCTCGTATAGTGTGTGAATACTGAATTGAGCTTTCTTTCACATCGTCTTGCGCTTGAACACACAAATACACAGAATTACGTCCAAATATCCTTGTAAACACAGTCGGTTTTGTCTTAAGGGAACGCAAGCAGCATTTTAGACTGAAAATGCATGTGTAGCAGTTTAATGTCTTAAAGTGACAGCAGCCTAATATTCCCCTTGTCATTTGTGCCATTAATGTTAATCAAATAGCAAAAGAAAATCACTTGCTGATCTTGACTGAATAACTTTATTAGGGATTAATCTATATTTCATTTAGAATAAGAAAACTATTCAGTGTTATTTTAAATTAGATTTCTATTTCTGTACCTGCACTTTGTTTCGTTGTATTTATTTGCACTGTTGCTAATTTGTTTATTTGTTCTTATTTTGTTACTGCTGACTTGTCTTTAATGAGGTTTGAAATCTAGCCTATATTAGTTAGTCTAGTTGTTTTTGCTGTGGTATTTTTGGTAAAACAATAGGAGGAATCTCCTTGTGTAAGTGCTCTTCAGGCTGATGATTATTTTTCATGGTATTCAGCTGCAATAGAATGTTTTGCAAAAAAAAATGTTCGATATCTAAATGTTTACTTTTTTATACCTTATTGGAATCAAATCTGAGAATCATAGAGAATCATAATCACTAAGCAGAATCGAATCGCTAAAATACAAATGATTCCCAACCCTAATTGTGTCACATTATCGCTTAATATTGCTTACTCGGGCTTGCTAGCCACTACCCTTACCAAACAACTTTCCAAAAACCTGAAACCAAGTTGAAGGTTCCTCTAAAGAACCCATTGAGTCAAGCCAAGTGCCAGTTGCTCTCCCACATTCTCCACCAAATCACAATCGATCAATTACATCATTAGCCAGCCATTTACAGGCTGATCTGGCATATCGAAGCAAGACAGTTGAACTTTGGATAACCTGCTGACTTAGCATACGTGGACCAAAAACAGTCAGGGAGGGGTTGCTGGGGTTGTGGCATGGGATTGGTTGAGAGAGAAATCAGTGTAGATGAACTAAGTTACTGTGCCAAATAGGTATGGTGGTTTGAAACATCAGTCAGTAGAGCTTTTGCTGTATGGTTTATAATGCAGAAGATGTGTTTAAATTGGCTATCAGTGCAAAGAAGTACTTTATATTATTTACATATTAACAAAATTGACGAAAAGCATGAGGTAATGCAAAAATATGTGTACCAAACAAGTCAAGATGAGAAAGAACTTAATAATTGTTTAGCAAAAACCACTATATTATTATATATACTGTTACTATGACTTAAAATTACTGTGATTTATTGCCAAACTCTAATGGCAGCAAACCGTGAGTGGAAGTGGATGGTGACTAGGCGTCCTAAACTCAAATATTTATATAATATGTGCACAAATTGGTAGAAGAAGCTATTGTTGGAAGTGATCTACAGTAGAAGTTTCTGGAATCTGGCCGACATCCACAATAAACAGCGATAATTAGAGTCTTTTTGGCTCTTTTAAGTGTCAGCGCTTTGTACTTAGTCCAGATTTGAAATGCAGGCCAGTTCAGACTTGTGCAACATTCATTGACCTGTTCGAAGGGTCACCGAGACTCCAATTCCGGCACTGGGAAAAGGTTTTCTCTCTTCTGACCTTCTTTATCTAATCTTGTAATTTTCACTGACTTCCCAGGTAGGATAGTGTTACATTAAAGTGAAAAACAACAGCATTATCCCTCTATCCTCCGCCACTTTTCTCTCCTACTTTCTCTGATGAGAGTATTAGACTGAGCCAGACACAAAAGGGCTTTACGGCCTTGCAATAAAACAGAAAAGAAAAACAGAGACTTTCTGAAAGACTGCTTTTACTTAACCCAGAACAGGGGCCCTAAATAGGGAGCATGTATATGTGTGTGTGAGTCTGGCGTGTCTGCATGTTCATGGGCGTGTGCATGCAAAAATACAGCTTGGTTTCTTAGGTTTAGATGGGGCAGATCTACTCAAACATTAAACTATTGCAGACAGCTGTGAATTAAAGGGACAGTTCACACCAAAAAAATGAAAATGAAGCCTTCCAAGTCTTTTAAAGCTGCATGATAGACACGTTCACAATACATACAAGAACAGAATAGATTTAGAAGACTTGAAATATAGCTTCCATGCCATATGTAAGAGAAAATAAGTGGTCAACCATTACTCAATGGCAATGATTTTATAACTAGATAAATATTTCAGTTTAGCAAGGATGCATTAAATTGCTCAAAAGTGACAGTAGAGTCACTGTAAAGATTGCTTTTAACATTGATATTAATAGGAAATGGTTCTTGAGCAGTAAATCAGCATATTAGAATGATTTCTGAAGGATCATGTGGTTTCCCGCTCTGTTCAGCGTGCAGTATCACGTGTCTAAACAAATAGCACATGCTGTCAGTGATTTCAACCACTAGAGGCTGCTCTCGAACTGTATAATGACAGCAGACCCTTCTCAGCCGTTCCAGCAACGGACGCAACCCGGAAAACTATCAGCATGGATTTTTGCCGATAACCGATACTATCGGTGCCGATTAATCGGCAAAACCGATACATCGGTCGACCTCTAATCATGTGACACTGAAGACTAGAGTAATGATGCTGAAAATTCAGCTTTGCCTCACAGGAATAAATTACATTTCAAAATATAATTGTTGTGAAATATATTGTGAAAATTGTAATAATATTTTGCAATATTACTGTAATTTTTTATCAAATAAAGGCAGCCTTCTTAACATAGCAATCGGTCTGCTAATCAGTTATGGTTATCGGCTAATGTCTATATTCTCACAATGGCCAAACCTCATCTGTCTTCTTGGCCTGGCCAATATATAGATCAATCACTCCACCCAAATATACCCACAGCAGTCTTATATGCCCTGTTTACCAGTGTCCAAATCAGCCTCTTAGGAAAAACAAGTGTCATGTAAACACATGTAAACAGGACTCACCTACTACATCCAGCGTGTAGGTGTGATTGATGGATCCGTAGGCGTTCTCCAACATGCAGGTGTAGTTTCCTTTATCAGAGGGAACGACGCTCTCCATGATTAGAGTCCAGTGCTGGAGTCGGAGCTGAACGTGGCAAATAAAAAACAAACTTAGTACAACAGAACACGTTCAGAATAGTTTAGTCACTTGTTTATGCAACGTTCCCAGTTTGTGAATCGTATAACCAAACACAGGTGGTTGTTTTTGTTATTCTCAAATTCATCTCAAACAAAACTCCAGGTTTAGATAAGTGTCCATCATCCTCAATTTCACACCAGTGTGTGACGTCTTACAAAATGAAGGGCAAATCTGACAGCAGCACTGACAGAACAAACAAGAGAGAGAGAAATTGTCCCAGAAGACGAGGGTTTTTTGAGCAAGAGCACCATGGGAAAAGTAATATCGCCGTGCCGACAGACGAGCGAGCTCCCGCCCCCACCCCAGGAATGCAGCTCTCGTGACTGCAGGCCACAAAATCTTGCTTCTCTTCCATGGAGACTTTCACTCCTCAACCCTCGGCCTTTTGAGACCCTTCAAATGACCACAAAATAAGGGTTCACCCAGCTGAGGCACTTTAGTTTATGCACGTTATCCATAATCTCATTTATTTTATAAAACATTTTAATAAGCTATTACTGAATATAATGTAGAAACTTTCATTTTCTGTAAAGCTGCTTTGCAACGATTTGCATCGTGAAAAGCACTATACAAATAAACTTGAATTGAATTGAATTGAATTTTAGATCTTATTTTGACTAAAACCTGCACTCTAGGCAGAAGGTGGAGACTGTTTTCATGAAGATTTGCTTTGTATATTCTAAAAATGCAATAATAATCAGGGTTATTATAGTTAACTACAACTTAAATCATTAAAATACATTTTCGTTAAAATATAAAACATAAAATACATGTTAATTGAAATAAAAAAATAAAAATAAAACGTAAACCTTTTTTTCAAATAGGCAACATTCATAATTTTCGATTTTTTTATCTTGATGTACTAAAATAACTAAAACTAAAACTAAATACAATTTGTAAAAAATATATAGAAAAAAATAAAAGCTAAAACTAATAAAATGACAAAAACACAACATAACTTAAAAACTAAAATTAACATGAATGCAGAAACTATAAATCAAATCTAATTCAAAATATTAACAAAAACTATAAAAGTACGTCAATGATAGTAAAATATCACTGGTTATAAGCTGATGCGTATCTTTGCTGACGCAATGAATTTCTTTATGTTTAAAAAGCATATAATTTAAAAGTTATTATTGTTATTAAAAAGCATTCACTTCACAACAAATCATTAACACAAACATATTTGATTAATAATCAGATTTTATTATTAATAAACCAAATTAGTTGTTATTTGTCATTAGTTTTATTTAAATGTTTCATCAGATCATGACCTGTAAACAGAATGCATATATCTATGTCTATATCTTTCTATATCTATCTATCTATCTTTTATTTATTTATCTATCTATCTATATATATATATATATATATATATATATAATTTTGTCTGTAACTACTGTAAATGGTAATTTGAGTCTGAATTATCGAATGAACGAGTTCTTGGTCCTGTAGTCAGACACTGGCTCATATCTGAGTCTTCAGATCAATCGAGCGTGAGCAGCTCAATCGTTAGTGACCTTCTGTGTGGATCAGCTGTGTTTTCAGAGAAGGAAGTGCAAACAGACACTGATCGGGGTACATCGGCCAGTCGTCCCGCACATCTATTACACTTTAACCAAGAGTCAGTGCTTCACCAGCTGTTTCATGCTAACAATTCTGACTCATGTAAATCTGCATGTATAAAAAAATACTTAAATGTACACATTTCGCTTTCTAAAAACCTCTTTGAAAAGCACTAGTATTTAAGCATTTTTTAAATTTACCATGATGAGTTCCATTTCTCATCCGGCATTAGTGAAGATTTCTTACCTTGTAACCACCCATGCGATCCTCCTGTTTGAAGGGTTTTCCGTTTTTCAGCCAGCGCATTTCAGGCTTGGGATTTCCCGCCGCCGCGCACCGAAACTTCACAGTGTTGGCCGCGGGGACGGCATGCAGCTTCTTCTCCATCTTATCCGGCGAGGTCCAATATGGCGCCACTGTAGGAAAGAAGAAGCAATTACAACCATTTGCATCATCCAAACATCAACAAGAATCACACACTTGCAGTGCACTATATATATTTCTTTGATGTGTCGAAGCTTTTAAGATTACATGCAATTCAATTGCTGTTAATAGTGTTCATCGTCTGTTTGATTACGTCTTTAACTGATTTTTCCGTACATTTCTGCCATATGTACATTGACTGACAGTCACCACTGATAAGCTACCACTAAATATTGTAGAAACTTAATTTGCTGTAAAGTTGCTTTGCAATGATTTGTATCGTGAAAAGCGCTGTACAAATAAACTTGAATTGAATTGAAAAACTTGAACATGCAGCTTTGATATGCATCACATAAAACCTCCATGCAAACTTTCAGCAGTTCATATATCAGTCCCTGACAACTACAGTGTGTTTTCTATATCTATGTTTATGGAAAAACATAGGATCAAAGCCAGAAACAGTAGCTTTTGGATTGTACAGTAGACTGAAGATGAATCAGTTTGATTTTAGCTCTCTGGAGCTCTGAAAATCAGAATTAGGGTCATATAACAAATCAATTCAAAATCAAAATTGCAACATGACCTTGTGCAACTGCTAAATCAATGAAGGCAGCAACTGAAATAAATGCATTATATTAGGGGTGTCGTGATATACCGGTATTGACGATAACCGTGATATTCAAATCATGAAATATCGACATCGTGTTAATTTAGGGTGTGACGATATACCGGTATTGATGATAACCATGATATTTTAAATTAACAGGACACTTATGATAACACGACACGCAAATAGCCTACTCCAGCGCCAGTACCTGGTTGACCTCCCAGGTGGCAGTATTGCGCCTTAACACTGACACCTGTCACACAAGAAGAAGACGCAGCGCGCGGCCGCACTACTCCAAGAAAAAACAATAGTATCCATGCTGCGGGTCTGCAGATGAATATATCTCAGAAGAACCATGTTCAATATTATCCAGACAGTAAGTTGCCATTATTTTACTAGTCATTGAATGGGAAATGTTACATTAACCTGTTAACAGCGGTTTCCTGTTTTCATATATTTAAATAAAAGGGTGATTCTTTTAATAAGTACCGCGTTTTCTTTACTCGTCTAATTTTTGTATTTGTATATGCAATCAAGCCCTGGCCAATACTGCCTATGTGTAGCAATTTATTTATTTGTTATTATATATATATATATATATATATATATATATACACTAATAAATATTTAAAAGCACATAACAAAATTAAAATAAAATTAAAATAAAAAATAGCACATAAATAATGCCAAAATGACACTGATTCAACGACACAAAAAAAATGCAATGACATGGCAAATCAATCTGAGGTCCATTCTGATTCAACCCCAATATCCCAAAAGAAATGCATCATTGCCAAGAGACAGAAAGCAGGAGCCCGTCTGAAACTCAGCAAGGGGAAACAGGAAGGCATGACCACGGATGCAAATTAAAACAGTTATTCACACTCGCAGCACTGCATGACTGCACCGCCCATCTGCTTAATGGAACCCTGCAACTCACAGTGAGCGGCTTAAATAAAAACATATTCCCATTTGCTCTGAGCAACACAAGAGAAAAGGGGGATAAAACAAATGGTCCAAAAGCACAGCAGCTTGCCAAGAAGGAACTGGACCATCACATCCAATTTCTTTTGTTCGACAGACATGCTAACCGGAAGGTTGCAAACGACTTGATATCAGACGTGTAAACAGACATCTTCCCTTCAGCGTGAAGGCATGCTAACTGCTTTTCAACTCAACCCTTTTCTTCAACGTCTATCTATCTGTCTGTCTGTTTTCTTTCCTCACCACCCAACTTTTTCATCTCATCTCGTGGGAATTCTTTCATAACGGTCATTCTCTTTGACCTCAACGCCCTGAAGGACAGCAGACTACATGTCTCCTTTTGAGAAAACAAAGATGGGAATGACCCTCAGACACTGGGGCAGTAGGGTCGGATGTCCTGGGCAACCCCAAGACAGGTGATCTCCAGTGAAAGATGGACTGACTATTGAACCTTTATTGACATTTTTCTTTAAAAACTCAAATACCACTGGTATCTGCAAAAAAAACGGTCAGTAAACAGAAACACTGAAACATCCCAGCAGCCAATTCCATCATATTAAGCAGAGAAAGAAAAAAAAAACATGCAAACCAGACCTTTAGACTTTAAACAATCACAGTGTTGTCTTCTCCAGCATACCTCATATGCAGGCAAAACCTCTAAAAAATAAAGGAAACTTTCTCGTGAGAGGGGGGAAAATTGCTGTTTTTGAGACTGCTGTTGTTGAGGCCCCTTTGCACAGAAATATCAAAGAGTTCTGAGTGGTTCAGCTGGGCAGAAATCCAAACCACTGAGCCCGAAACCGCCCCAGGCACAATGCTAAACACCCCTCCATCCCAACCCCAATCCCCCCACGTACACAGCCAAAGGCCAGACCTCCAAAGCATACACAAAAAAGTGTTGGTACAGATCCAAACCAGAGCCCATTAGCTGGAAGACCTAGCTCCATCCCTCTTTCCAACAACTATCTTTAATATTTAGTTTTGCACAACTCAAAACAGATTTTGTTGGGTATGGCGCTCATTTCAACAGTGGAAATGCAGTCAATATCCTTTCCTCACCTGTCACGGCTTCTCTTGCGCATAAAGTTCTCAAAAATGTGAAGCGGTTAGTGTTAACCATGACCAAAAAAAAACTAGATTGCTGAAGGAATGAGTCCTGATACTGGAAATAAGTTGCCATTTTTGAACTTACAATTCCATCGTTCCAAAGTCAATGGGTTTTTGGCCTGAAATAAGGTCTGTGGTTAATACGAGCTCAAAAAGAATCATAAGAATCATAAACTTTTGTTGGTCACAGAGCTTATTTTCCACAATAATCTAAAAGCCAATGGAAAAATCCTGGGCTTTTTGTTGAGGAAACAAATTAACTTCCAGATTTGCCAACAAATATACGTCATCCTTGCAACACTCTGATTATTAACAAGGTTTTAACATCTTTGGAATTTCTCTTTTTTCTATATTTCGTTACTATTTCACTCAGGTCTTTCCCTGCCATTCTCAAATCAAAACACATCTCTAAGCAGGTAAATTACAGACAGGCCCCTCATGGACCTGAGAAATGGAGAGCACAAAGACACAAAGGAAGAAGGAAAGAGAAGGCCTGGAATTCTGGGAATGTGTCTGTGCTGGAATTCTTGGTGACATACTGAACATCAGACTCCACTGCAGGCTCGTCCTAT